AAAAATAATTAAAAATAATAGAGAAAAAATTAAAATTAAAAAAAAAAACACTATTAAGCCAAAGTCCTCCTTAGAACCTGAAGGACACGACTGAAGCTGTAGGGACAGTATTTCCCCTTCAACTCCTGGCATATCATCTCCAACCTGACAGTCTTATGCTATTTCCCAGGAACCTGGAGCCCTAAGAAATCCAGTTTGAAAATCACCCATGTAACCCAACCCGGTCATGTCATAGGCAAGAAAGCCAAGACCCAGAGAATGCAGCAAGATGGTGAACCCATGCCAGTCTCTGTCCTCCCCAGCTCAGAGCCCGTGCGGAGGCAGGCAGCTCAGTGGATCGTCGCTGTAGAACATGATGAGCGTGGGGATGGCAGAAGCCGGCACTGGGGAAGCCCTGGTCTGCTCATCCACTCAGCCATCCTCAGAGACCTCTGACATGCCCTGGGTGGTGCCGGCAGGGGCAGCTGCTGCGTGGTGACCCTGGGGTTCCCGGAGACTCACCCCAGAGTCCACCATTGATGTTTCTATCTCTCTCTCCCTCTCTCTTCCTCCCTGAAATCAATAAAAAAATATTTTTAAAATAATGTATGGCAAGCACTAGGACACCTAGCAGGTCCTTGATCTGCCCTGGACATTGTTGTTATTTTTTAAAAATATATTTGTATTGATTTCAGAGAGGAAGGGAGAGGGAGAGAGAGATAGAAACATCAATGATGAGAGAGAATCATTGATCGGCTGCCTCCTGCACGCCCCACACTGGGGATGTGCTCTGACCGGGAATCGAACCGTGACCTCCTGGTTCATAGGTGGGCACTCAACCACTGAGCCATGCCAGCCGGGCTTGTTGTTATTTTAATATCAGGCATGGTTGGCATCCCAGGCAGGGGGCACAACAGAGGTCCTTGAGCCACGGGTATTCTTTAAACTCCTGGACGGAGCTGGTGAGGGTCCAGTGGGAAGATAAGAACTTACCCAAACTTTGGTGCCGCTCCTACCGTACCCCCAGCCCTCAGCTGAGAGAGTCCGGGTGTCCCTCCAACTCTGGAAGGCTGGTGCTGTCCACACCCATGTTGTGTGGGAGCTGGGAGAGGTGACGTAACCAGCCAAGGTTCCTCAGTCAAAAAGTGGCCGTCCCTGCCCTTCCCACCTGCCCTGAGGCATCCAGAGTGAGTCCAGGGAGCACAGAGAGTACCTGCTCTGCTTCCACCAGGGCAGCCCTGCCCAGGCTCGGCCAGACCCCTGCCTTGCTGTCCTCGGTGGCTTTACCTGCCAAAAAGGGATTTGGATGACAACTAGCGAGTCGCTAACCAGAGCTTTGCTCTGTTCTGGGCACTTAGTGCTCGCACCTCATTGAAGCCTCACAAACAGAGGAAGTGGATGCTCAGAGAGGTCAGGGAACTCTGGGAGGTCACACAGCCCAGAAAGCTGCCACATTATTGCTCCATTTTATAGACGGGGACATGAAAGTGGCACAAGAAGCTGAACAACTGTTGGACTCCAGAGGTCCTCCAGCCTTAACCAGCTAATCACACCACCCTTGGAGAACCATGGAAAGTTCTCTGGTCTGGCCGTTTCCAGGGAGGTGGTGTGGGGACCCAGCTGGGCCTATAGGGGCTCCTGGCTTTACCTTTTTCTAGAAGCAGGCAGCCCCGGGCACTCCTGGGCCACCCAAAGGGCAGACTGGCTCCCATGCAGCCTCATTCTCTCACTTCCCACCCCGCCTCTGGAACTGGCCAGCACAACACGCTTGGTCCTACTTGGCCCTCCTCCTTCTGCAGATGCAGAATGTGACCCCCCCCCCCCGGGAGCAAGACTGGGGAGGGGTCCTCAAAGCCGCAACCCTGAGAATGGGTGGGTAGAGTTAGAGTGCCCATGGACTCTAGAAGCAGAATTTTGCAGGTCAGGACTTTGGTCCTTGAAGAAGCCTTCTCCTGTCTCACCTGGCACCATGCCCAGGACTTAAAAGGTCCCACCTGCCTTGACCGGTGGCTCAATGGTTAGAGCACCGGCCTTTGGACCGAAGGGTTGCATGTTCGATTCTGGTCGAGGGCATGTACCTTGGCTGCAGGTTCCCTAGCCATGCAGGAGGCAACCAATCCACGCACCTCTCTTACCACATGATGTTTCTCTCTCTCTCTCCCCCTCCTCCCTTCCTTCCACTCTTTCTAGAAGTCAATGGAAAAAATATCCTCAGGTGAGGATTTAAAAAAAAAGAAAAGAAAAGAAATATTTTGTAATAAAGGGGTTTAAGAAAAAGTTCCCATCTGTGAGCATAGGATGTTTAAATAGATATTGCATGCAAGTGCTCAGCACCACAGGGGGTCTTGAAAGGGTAGGCACAGTCGGGGTGCAGGCACCAGATGCACCCTCCCCTACCTGGGAGCTCAGGGCCCACCCCCAAGTTTGGGCATATCCTGTTGCAGGTTTTCAGCCACCTAAATCCATGGCAGGGCCAGGTGGTGTTGGCTCACAGCCTCTGTGATTTTGACCCACAAACGGAGCCTTTTTCTCAGGCCCAGCAGAGCAGCCTGACTTCCCACCAGCCCATTGGCCTGAAAGGGATGGTACAGTGCCTGGGAGAGTGGCCGGGTCAGTCCTAAGGGACATGGTGCCAAGAACAGGGAAAGCCTGGAGCCAGAGAGACCCCGGGGCATCCTGGGAAGGACATGGGGTGGGTTGAGCAGGAGTGTCGAGAGCCCATTCCGGGCCTAGGCAGCTGGGAGAGGAGCGAGGGCTTGTGCACCCGTAGCAGGGGGTGAGAGAACACGCCCAGAGGCGGAAGGGGCGCGAGGAGACCCCCGGGGACGCCTG